TGTGCAAGAAAAAATAAAATGTAAGAAGTTATGTTATAAAAATTGGTTAAAATGTAAAAATTTAAAGAATTAAGAAAAATATAAAATGTCTTGTAAGGAGTCTAAGAGAACAATCTATGATACTAAAAATTTTATTTTGGTGACCTTTATAATATATTATATGCTAAAGAGGGTGAAAAATATATGTATAAACCAGTCAAACAAAAAAAAAAAAGTAAAAATTTAACTTAAGTAAAGTGTATTAAAGATGAAAATCAAAAAGTATTTTTTCTTAGAAAAAGATATTCAATGTAGGTGGTTGAGTTATTTTTATAAACTTTTCAATAAAGTTTCTAAAAATACAATCAGCCTTAGTGATCTTAATATCATTAATAATAATAAATTATTTCATTGTTACCATCACATTAGTAAAATAAATGTTGAGGATGCTTTAAAGAAAACCAAGAATGAAAAATTTATAGGACCTGCTGATATCACAATTGAAGTGTGCAAATATTTATGAGATTTAGGAGTTTTTTGGCTTTACTAAACTCTTTAATATTATTTTAAAAACTAAAAGATGTCTGAGGAGTGGATGAAAGATATATTGATCCCCAGTTTTAAGAATAAAGGAGATGCACAAGAGTGTACAAATTATATAGGAATTAAGTTGATGTGTCATACTTTAAATTTGTGGGAGAGGGTAATTGAACATAGGTTAAGACGTATTTTAAGACATTACAAATATTTCTCATAATCAGTTTGGATTTATGTTAAACAGGTCTACTATTGAAGCTATACATTTATTGAGAGGTCTGATGGAGAAGTACAGAGAGAATAAGAAGGATCTACATATGGTTTTTATTGATTTAGAAAAAGCTTACAATAAGAATCCAAGAGATATCCTTTGGAGAGTTCTAGAGAAGAAAGTTGTTGATATGGCTTATATTCAAGTTATTAAAGATATGTATATTAGAGATGTTGCTTGTGTTCGAACAGAAGGAGGATTGATCGAATATATTCCTATTTTAGTTGGATTACATGAGGGATTGGCTTTAAGCCCATATCTTTTAGCTTTACTTATGGATGTTCTTACCGGACATTTACAGGAGGATGTACCTTGATGTATGTTTTTCACTGATGATACCCTTATTCTGGATAAGACTAGAGAAAAAACTTAGGAAAAACTTGAATTATGGAGTTCTAGATTGGAGTCTAAAGGCTTTCGTTTGAGTAGAACTAAAACTGAATACATTGAATGTAATTTTAATAATAGTAGCTCTGCTGACAAAATGGTAATATAGATTGGGATGTTATTAGTAGAATTAAATTTGGTTGGTTGAATTGGAGGAATACTTAGGGTCTATTGTGTGATAGAAAAATATTGTTTAAACTGAAAGGAAAATTTTATAAGATGGTGGTGAGACCTGAAATACTCTATGGCGCAAAATGTTGATCTTTAAAAAATAAGCATAATACTAAGTTAAGTGTTGCCGAGATTAGAATGCTTAGGTGGATGAGTGCCTTTACACTTAGAGATAAAATGCAAAGTGTCCTTGATAGGTTTGGTGTAACTCCAGTAGCGAACAAATTAGAGAGAGTTGTCTTAGATGGTTTGGTAACTTTAAATTTCGATCATCTATTGATCCGGTTAAGGGAGTAGATGTTTAGATTCGATTTATGTTAAAAAAGACAAAGGTGTGCCTAGAAAGACTTGGGCATATTGTATAAAAAATGAACTCAATTTATTAAAATTAAATAAAAATATGACACTCAATAAGACGCAATGGAGAAAAAGGATTCAAGCAGCCGACCGCACTTGGTGGGATAAAGGCTAATTGTTGTTGTTGTATGTAAATCATATATATGATGTGCAAATGCTGCAATAAAATAAATATAGAATAAGATGGCAAAGGACAAAATCCATACACCTTTTAGGGTACAGTCCCTAAACAATTTCCAATGTGAATTGCCAGTTGATTTGCATGTAAGTGTAGTACCTAATAATTTTTGTATGGTATTTCAAAAATAAGAAATAAATCTGGTATATCTATCAGAAACTATATTCTTAGATAATTGTAAATAAGCTATTTTATTACGTAAGTTTTGCTACATAGGATGCATTTGTAGTCTTAGAGCAATTAATGAAATGAACCATTTTGAAAAATATCAATCCAATAGTATATTATTATAGACACAAATAGTCCTAAGAATATCAATAAAAACTACACAAATCAACCCAATGAGTTGATTGGACGGAATGAGAATGGTATATAACAATGCATTATTTAACATTTTCCCCATTTGGCATGTGCCACATTGGCCATCAATACTAACAGTATTGTTTCATAAAGAAGGCCAGTAAAACCAACATTCATGCCAGTGTATGGTTTTATTCCAACCAGCATGATCTGCCATGCCAACATGTGTTTTCCAAAGAACAGGATCACGAAGAGAGGTGAAAAGCCTATTATTTTTATACATGTAAAATCTGACAACATATAAGTAGCAAAGGAAAATATGACATATCCTTGTGATCATAAAAAATCATGAGAAAGTTAGGAAAAATACAAATCATGATGTATTTTGCTACAACCATGCACATAAATGTAGATAGAAGCTAAAATTAAAAAAACATAAGATAATGCATTTGTTGGTTTATTGTGAAAACAAGTATTTTTCAAGAGAAAAATAAAATCTTGAGGGTTCAATTTACAAGACATGTCTATTATTACCTAACATCATTTAAATATTTATATATTTTAAGGTTTGATCAGAAATAAGAATAAGTAGAGTACCTTTATTTAGCCTTTAGCCTTATTTAACTTCTCCCTAAAGTAAATTCAGGTTTTGGGTGGGACTCGATTTTGAAGAGATTTGGAGTTTTGAGGAGTGCAGATTATGTGTGGATACCTTCAATAAAGTTTGGAGAAGAGAGATAGCAATCAACCCAAATCATGGCAACCAAACTAGCATTGATGAATAAACGGTCAGAAAATGAAATCACAAAAAAAAGTGAAGAGCGGAAATTACAAAAATGAACTTTGACAATATTTTTGAACATCCAAACTAGTTTTCAATTATAATGAAAAATTTCCAAATACTCATTCATAAAGCTATGTAGCACGGACACGAATATGAAGATGCAACATAATTGAGAACATAGGACACAACACGTCATGCACACATTTTTATATATAAAATATATTTTTTCCCCGAATTATTTATTAAAGATATCATGAAATAAAATATGAAAAAATAAAATTTAACTTTATGAATTTATATTGTATGATGAATGCTTATAAAAATTAATTTAGAAAATTAGATATATAACAAATTTTAGAAGAAATTCTCCAACTTTTCTACTAAAATTTAAAATATTCTACAGTTACAACTTGTTTATTTGATTAAGTTTAAGTTTAACTTTTAGAAGCTTCAACACAAGCGTCACAAAGTTCGCAGGTATTTGGATCAGCATCAACGAACAATTTTGAATTCTGTTAAAGTTGTGAGAAAGAAGTAATGGTTTCCACTTTAGCCGGTGCAGGTTTGGCTTCGATAAACATAAGAGAACTACAATCCTCAACTTCGAAGAATGTCAGATGGACCTTTAATAGCCTACTTCGACAAATAGAGGGGGAATTACTGATGCTCAGCTTTGACAAAGATTGTATGCACCTTCGATGCTTAACTTTGACGAATATTAGAGAGAGGTTTGACACAACAAGAGAGGAAGCGGCTTTGACTATGAAGTATAATTAAGGCTATATGTATATTCATAATTTCCTACCTCTTGTGTCATGTTTTCCTCAAATCATATTGAACTCACGTCAGATGTGATATTAAAGTGTGTCCCGAATGTGTTGGGGCCCAAACAAAATTCAAACACATATTTTGTAGTGTTAGACAAGCATCTGGCGTGTCGGGCGTGTCGGGCGTGTCGGGCGTGTCGGGCGTGTCGGGCGTGTCGGGCGTGTCGGGCGTGTCGGGCGTGTCGGGCGTGTCGGGCGTGTCGGGCGTGTCGGGCGTGTCGGGCGTGTCGGGCGTGTCGGGCGTGTCGGGCGTGTCGGGCGTGTCGGGCGTGTCGGGCGTGTGTTGGTGCCTGATACATGTCTGATATAGGTACGATACATTTTAAAAAATGTCGGTGCTAAATAGTCATAAAGAGAGGAACAATCCAAGAAAAAAAATTTACTCAAAAAAATGTCATTTAAAATGGATGAAAATTTAAACGGTGAAAATGAAAAATATTTCAACATCAAGGACCTATAAAACAATAGTTTCTAAGCTTTTACACCAATTGGCATCATAAAAGATAAAGCAAGAGAGAGCATAAAAGGAGAACAAACATACAACAAAGAAACAGTGTGAACCACGATAAAACAATAGAAGAAAAGAATAAGCACCTTTGTTCAAAAATTAGTTGCACAAGGTATCCATGCACAAAGCTTGGAATGATCCTTGCACTTGGCTTATATCCAAAGCATGTAGCTTCATTTCCCTCACATATACTCAAAAAAAAAAAGACATTCAAGTTCTAGTGAGCTACTAAAGAAGTAATAACCCCTAAAGAGGCTAGAGCAAGGCCCAATTGAAAATGAAGCGAATTATTTATTGTGACTCTCACTTAGGTTAATAAAATGAAAATAAAAGGCTAATGCTTCTCTCCCTCACACATACATTTGGTTTTTCTTCCCCTCAATATTGAGGCACCAGTAGACATAAAGTGCATCTTAACTCTTTAAGCACATTCATATCAATTGTAAGACAATGTAAAATGCAATGGCCCTTGATAAAGATACAAACTTTCAACTAAGAGACTGATTGCACAGGTAACCCGTAGCAAGAAAGATGATGTGACAATGAAAAGTGGATGTCAGATCATAAAATAAACTGGCCCAAATAAGGCTCAAATGCTGATTAACATCTAAAAGGATAGATTTTCAAAGCATGCGCTGTAACATATATAAATGAACTCCAAAACTACAATATAGGTAATAAGCATCTCAGCAGAGACAAACCTGGAAGTGAGGCATTCAAAAATAATAAAGAATGATTGAAAAAATAATTCAGACAAGTCCACGCCCAGATTGACAAGGTCCTCTCCTTTTAACTCTCTTCTTCATTCTCTCAGACCAATAGTTCAATGTGTTTGATGCATCAAACTTTCCTGTAAAATTCATTTTTTGTGCAAGCTCGCTTAGAACATCAGGCCTCCCAGCCCTAGAGAAATCAGCGGCTAACTTATTATAGTCCACCTGGGGGACACTCATCCCTTTGTTAATCATCTCCTCTATGTATTTGTATGCCTCTTCAGGCCTTCCATGACGTATATGTCCACCAATAAAGACCGTAAAAGAATTAACATCAGGACAAATCCCCTTGCCTAACATTTCCTCCCAAACTGCACAACCCATCTTGTAATTATTCCCATGGAAGTAAGACTTCATCAACATATTGTAAGTGTGAATCGTAGGCTCAAACCCATTTTTTATCATCTTCTTGTATATTCTTACGGCATCATCTGGCATGTTCCGGTTCGTCAACAGTTTTATCAGAGCATTATAAGTTCGAGCATCTGGCGGGCATCCCTTTTGACTCATCTCTGCGAGCAAGCTTGAAACTTTAGCCATCTGCCGAGCATTTCCAAACCCAACTATTAAACATGTGTAGGTCGCAACATCTGGCGAGCAACAAGCAGCCAACATTTCATCAAAACAGCTAACAGCCTGTTCCATCTTTCCCGCCTTACAGAGATCTTGAATTAAAATAGTATAAGTTCGGGTATTTGGCTTAGGGCCTTTGGCCTTCATGAGCTCTAACAGCTTGATCGCCTCAGACCTCCGATGCCCTCGAATCAAGCCTTCAAGCATAGTGTTGTGGGAGACAATGTCTGGCTTGAATCCACTATCAAGTATCTCATTCCATAATCTACCAGCCTCAGCCAAGTCCTTAATCTTGCAGAAACCATAAAGCAGCGCTGTGTAAGTGTGGATATCAGGATGATACTGATCCTTCATTTTGTCTAACAATTGTTGTGCTTCCTTCGCGAGCTTGGCCTTTGAAAGAGCATCAATCAAGCAGTTGAAAGTGTCCAATCCGACATGGAAATCATACTTCTTTATCAATTTGAAAATGCCTATACACTTCTTCATCTCGCGGGCCGCAGCAAAGGCCTTAACCGATATCTTAAAGGCGTCCATGGATAGAAGAGCGGCGTCCTTCCCCATCTCCTCCAGTAGGGCCACCATAGTCTCAAACTGCCGCGTCTTGCCGAGGACGCTGAGCATTTTATTGCAAGTGGTTGAGTCGTGCAAGAAGCCTGGCCGGGCGGCAGCCCACCGGAAGAAGCGATATGCGGGACGATGGGCATGGCGGAACCGGTCCAGAACAGCGACAACAAGGGATGATTCGATCTGGACTCCGATCTCGTCGAGCACCACCTCCATGTTGCGGTCGGACGAGAAGAGCTCGTCAATCACCTTACAGATCCTATCCACATCGTTGGAGTTCGGCGGCGGCGGCGGCGGCGGCGGAGATATCGAGTTATCCGATTCCGAATCGGATTCTGAAGAGGAGGAGAAAACCCTAGTTGGTTTCAGGAGGAGTGGCAACGATGGCGGGAGATGAGATGAGAGATAGGGAGGTGGCAGTATAGTTGGAGCTTGATAGTAAGGACGATGGAAGCGACGATGAGGACAAGAGACAGGAGAGCGAGGCAGGGACAAAGGAGAACAACGAAGATGGAAGGTTCCTCCCGCTCTATCGGTGGCGAGAAGCGGCGGACTTTGTCTGAGGGATCGGAGGGAATCTGGAGGGAACGGGGGGGCGATGTCATGGATATTCGAAACGGCGGCGGCAGCGGCGGAGGCAAAGGGGCGGAGACCGGAGGAAGGATTGGCATTCCTAAATAGGAAGGTCATTCCACCGCCATTAATGGTTGAGCTCAGAGGGGTAAGCTTTGCGTTGGAGAATGCAGCGTTCAGGTGAGAAAAGGCATGCTTTATGAACTATGACCATGAACTATGAGTATATATATGTGTGAATGTGTGTGATTTTATATATTATTCAGCTAATTTAATATTATGTTAAAAGAATTGAGTTAGATATTATGTTAAGGATTGGCTTTAATTATAACCACAGTTTTACACTAATATATAGAGATATAATTACTAACAAGCATAACTAATGTATTTTTTATTTGTAGAACACCAACTTGGCACAGTTTAGTAGATCCTCATATGGGGAGGTTAGAACCCCACCATGCTTGTAAGTAGTTATTATTTATTGTATATAAGCATACATTCATCATTAAGTGTATTCACTGCATTATTTCTACTAGTTTCAAGGTTTGTCGGTCATATATTTTAAATTATGTTACTCTGATTAGAGCAGATTTTGTTATTTTTCATGATGAATTTTATAAGTAATTAGTCTTATTTTATTGTTGTGTAAACTCTTATTCAATTACTTGCATCCTGCATTTTTAATATTCATTATTTTTTTAGTTTAATGTGTTAAAATTCATTGTTGTAAAATCATAATTATGTATTAATATTGTCAGACATGTTATAGTTATATATTGTATTTTAATTGTGGTACATGAAAATACATGATATTTTAATATTATTATATCGATATTAAACACTTATTGTGGCTAACGGAGAAATAAATACTCGCATTCAATGTTTGTAGCTGGACTTAGTTATTGGTGCTCTTCTGTTTCGTGTTGATTCACCATTCATGTTGTTTGTGTCTCTTCTTTTGTGCTCTTTCTGTCCATCCCTCCTCTTGTTCTGCCTTGGTTTTCTGCACCTACTACCATCATCTTTTCAAATTCAACTAATATTTGACACTTCAGCTCTTGTTGATGGACGAAAGAACTTCCTCCTTTCTTAGTGCTGCTTTAGCCTTCCTTAGCATTAAGGAACCTACCAAGCCCACTTTCCTTAAACTTCTCATGTCTAATGTCAAGAATATAATCAACATTTCTCTTACCATACAAGACTTTCCTTTGTGGCACTATTCGATCTCCAAACTAATCAAGATTAATGGTTTCAAATGTTTATTGGATGGTTTTATTCCCCAACCTACAAGAACTCTTGTGGCTACAACCGTTAATCTTAGTTATAATCTTGCCTATGCTAATTAGAATTTGATTGATCAGAATCTTGATGTTGCACTGTTCTCTACAATTTATGCTTGAAACCGTCTACATGTTCTTAATATTGACACTTGCTCTGAGATTGAGATCTGGGTTACACTGAAAAGGAAGATTTCAAGCCATTAATTGATCAATGATGATTCAACTCAAGAACATGCTTCATAATGTATTTGTAAAGTTTATAAATATGGCACAATATCTCTCTCACTGAGATCTGGGTTACACTGAAAGGAAGATTTCAAGCCATTAACTGATCAAAGATGATTCAACTCAAGAACATGCTTCATAATGTATCTGTAAAGTTTATAAATATGGCACAATATCTCTCTCAAATTAAAACATTTGTTGATAATATATCTAAAAACATTTTTTACATGGATATAGATGATATCATCTCGTAGACTCTCGAAGGTCTACCATCTTCCTATCATGCCTTTAGAATCGTCATTCGGACCAGATCTACTCCCATCAACCTTGAAGAGTTGTATTCTCTATTTCACAGTGAAGAAATCATTATATCCCAAGGATCTATGTTGAATCTCACAATTCAAGTTTTCAAACTGCTCTATATTCCAACCCTGCATGTTATAAACCTTAGTTCAACATGAGTTGTGATCAATTCACTAGCCCCAACACCTAATGACCAACCGACATCTCGTCAATTCAAAACCAGCATCATTGTTCAATGCCACATTTGTAATAAACATGATCACATTGTCATTCAATGTTGGCATAGGCTTAATCCCAACTACCAAACCAATAAGTTGTAGCTTACAGGTCAAAATACTGCATTTTTCACCTCATCCACTCCCTCAAACAATAGTTGATATCTAGATACAGGAGCTTCCACTCATTTAATGGCTAACTTAGACAATCTTCGACAACCATAAATCAATTAAGGAAACGACCAAGTTTTCATGGGTGCAAACACCTTTGTTTGCATCCGACACTCCGGACAAGTTTTGCTGCCAACAACACTTCATAAGTTTCACCTCCCTAATCTCTTACACACACCTCACATTTCAGATCCAAAATATTATATCCATCTCTCAACTCATTTTTGAAAATAATTGTATTTTTTAATTTAACTTTTTTGGGTACGTCGTTAAGGATTAGATAACGCACCAAGTACTTCTCCAAGGACTATCGTAATGGGATCTATCACATTTCCTTTTCCAAACATGCTTTATTCTCCGTCAAGTTTAGCTGTGAGGTATGATATCATTGTTTGGGTCATACTACTCCAAATAATTGATATCATTGCCAAATAGCTTTCTTCTCTACATATTTCCTGCAAAAGTTTTATTTGTACTTCATGTGTTATAACAATGTGTCATCTTTTACCACTTTCAAATTCTAGCAGTCATACTTG